GGTACTTGAAGTAGTCATCTCATAGAGCAGAAGACAGAATTGTAGATGCAAGAATCCAGAGGTGAGGTGCTAGTGTTTAATGGGTGCAGTTTCAGTTCAGAATGGGGAAAATTTCTAAAAACAGATGGTGTAGGGCTGGGGATGTGGCTCAAGCGGTAGCGCGCTCGCCTGGCATGCGTGCGGCCCGGGTTCGATCCTCAGCACCACATACAAACAAAGATGTTGTGTCCGCCAAAAACTAAAAAATAAATATTTAAAAAAAAAAAAAAACAGATGGTGTAGTGATAGTTGCACAAGGATGTGAATGTGTTCATTGCTACTAAACTGTATACTTTAGCATGGTTTAAATTTTATATTTTACATATTTTAACACAATTTTTTAAAATGTTTGCACAAAAACATATAATAGTACAAAGGATGTATGTATCCCCTTAAGCCAGATTTATTATTGTAATATTTTACCCTGTGATTGTGCTTTCATGTGTACTTTATATATACACACATGTGGGCACATTTATTTCTGAACCATTTAAGGGTATATTATATACATCATGAGCTTTTACCTTAAGGACTTCAGGAAAAGTTTTTCTTCTTTGCACTGGGGATTGAACCCAGGGGCACTCAACCACTGAGCCACATCCTCAGCCCTATTTTGTATTTAGAGACAGGGTCTCATCAAGCTGCTTAGTGCCTCGTTTTTGCTGAGTTTAGCTTTGAACTTGCAATCTTCTGCCTTAGCCTCCTGACCTGAGCTGTTGGGATTATAGCACTGTGCCTGGCGTCAGGAAAATTTTGTAAGAATAGATGATATTCTCTTAACTATCATAAATAAGTCTGTGCCAGCTTCATAATTTTTATTAGCACACTAATCTCTCATCCATGCTCCATTGTTATTGTTGTTTTCATATCATCCCAACCCTGCAGTACAGTGTACAGTCTAGAATAATGTATTACATTTACTCATATGTCGTTAGCCTTCCTTTGTCTTTTCTTTTTTTGGTACCAGTTGAACCCAGGGGTGCTTAACCATTGAGCCACATCCCCAGCCCTTTTTTGTACTTTATTTAGAGACAGGGTCTCACCAAGTTGCTTAGGGCCTTGCTAAATTGCTGAGGCTGGCTTTTAACTTGGAATCCTCCTGCCTCAGCCTCCTGATCCACTGGGATTACAGGAGTGTGCCACATCATCCAGCCCTTTTTCTTTTATGATAATAATATTACTTAGAATCTCCCTTTCTTTTAAAGATGCTTTCTCATTTTCTGTTTGTCCAGTGTTTCCTAATAATTTGAGACTGATCAGTCTCAACCAGAAAACTACATAGAAGATGTGTTAATTATCATATATAAAGACTCAGTACAATTTTAATTAAAATGCATAGTAAAGGGAATCAATGAATGCTGTAGGATTTTCAGAGAATGAAGACAAAAGGTTGGAATAGTCAGGGGATGCATTTGACTTGATAGACTGATTTGTTAGAATCATTTTGCAGTAGCTTAGCTGATATACCTAATACTGTGTTTATTAAGTTTCTATATTAAACAAAGCAAGAGGAAATTACTGATTTCTGTTTTTAGATTTAATGAAATCAAACGTCTTTCCAATGTTCAAATGTCTGCTAATTATTATATAAGATTCTTTGAATGATTTGGATCAGTATAAGATAACATTTAAGATATATGACATTATTTTCTTTCTGTTTTTCATCAGATATTAAAGTCAAACTGACAATTTGTATTCTCAACTTTGCCACCATTCTAGAACCTTTTGGCACTCCTTCTTAAGTTGTAGAAAGCTGCTGAAAGGAAAGTACTGTTCCTGCCAGTACTTTGTGTAATGTGTGAACAGTGGTAAATGCTGATTTATCTATTCTCAATGCCATTTTTGCCTTTTCTAGACTATTTTACAAAGAACATTCATTTCATACAGAAGTTATAGACTGCTTTGCAAAATATGATTCGGACCAACATCAAGTTTTAGTATCTATCTTAGGATTTTTCCCCCCTCCATATTAATAAGAACATTGTGGGGCTATGGTTGTGGCTCAGTGGTAGAGCACTCGCCTAGCATGTGCAAGGCCCTGGGTTCCATCCTCAGCACCACATAAAAATAAAAGATATTGTGTTCAACTAAACTAAAAGAAATTAAAAAAAAAGAAGAACAACATTGTGGTTAACATAGTTGGGATTTATTCATGGATTAATAGGTAGGAGAGCCTAAGGTATAATTAAGGCCGTTATTATTTGTAAAACTTTTTTCTTCCTCTGTACTTAAAAATAATAATAATTTATTGGACTTTTGCATTTTGTCTCTGCAGTTTGAAGAAAACAGGTCTGAAACAAGGTCTTACCCCCAGCCATCTCTGCACACAGTGACTGCCAGATCTTCAAGCCTCAAGTTCAGCTTTGTCCGCCAACCTGTCTGACATGTCGGGACCCGTGCCAAGCAGGGCCAGAGTTTACACAGATGTCAATACACACAGACCCCGAGAGTACTGGGATTATGAGTCACATGTGGTGGAATGGGGGTAATTATTCCTATTTTCTTCACTGTCCTCACTCAGAATACTGAGTCTTGTGGATTCATTGAGTCAGTAAATCTTCCCAACTCTGCTTCTCCAGACCTCAAGGTTGAAGTTCAGCTTGTGATTTCTTTCTTTTTTTTTTTTTTGAGCTGCAAATTTGGTTCTGTAGTAAAGAAGCAGAGGATTGTTTTGGTAAGGTAACAATTTTGAAGGACTGACTTTAAAAATCATTTTCTATGTTTCCTTTTCTCTCATTTATATATTTTGTACATGAAGGTGGTAGCTATGAGCTTGTGTCTCAAGCTAAGGTTATTGCAAACAGGTGAGAATTAGTGCCTGAGAGACTTTGAAAACACAAAACTCTTACATAAAGTATTTTTGAGGTCAGCGAATGTTGTCCCATGCTGATACTAAAGGATGGAACAGTTCTCCAGAAAGGTGTCCTCTTTTTGATGAGAAGCAAAATTAAATCCTTAAACATTTGCCCTTATCATGAGACTAGGCATTTTTAACATGGAATTCAGCCCAGATTCCATCTTGAACAGTTGTAGTCTGCCTGAACAGCTGTGTTTGCCCTTCTGATTCTCTGTGCAGACTCATTTAAATGTTTGCATTTCCTGTCCCAGTGTGGCATTACATTTAATTGATCTGATCATAGTTTTGTGATAAAACTGTTTTGACATTCAAGTGCAAAAGAAAGCCCGAAAGCTCATAAAGATACAGCTCTGATTACATAGCCTATATAAGTGGTTCACAACTGTCTCTCTGAATTTTCTGAGGTTGTATTCTTTATAGTGGTTATGCAATGATTCTTAGCAGTAAATACTTTTGTCTCTGCATAAAGAGGCACACTGTGTGCTTCAAAGATATCATCAAGAACCAGAGGCACAATACCAGTAAATGTGTGCCAGACTTCAGACTCTAGGTAATATGAACCACTATTTGCAGATTGAGTGCTTTACATTTAGTTCTGCTTGAAGTGGCACTAAACAGTCCTTTGTCATTTTTTGGCATGGTGCCATTGCTTGCTTGGGTTTGTTTTATATGCCCTCACATAGGAGGAGAGCTTTAATGAGAACTAAGAAAGGTTCCTTCCCCTAGACCTCCAGGATTGTTACATTGTCTGTTGCTCTTAGTACCTTTGCCTTCTCTTTTCATTCACTTGTTTGAGCTTTCTGAGGGAAATGAATGACTGCCATGGAAAATAATACATTCTGAGAGTAAATGAAATTTTGACCTGTTGGTGAAGCCATGTTTTTCATTCTTTACAGCATAGCCTCTAAGTTGGAAGCAAGGGCAGGAAAAGTGACATTTCCCCCTTTTTTTTTTAACCTCTGTTTTTGACAATTGACATTGCTTCTTAATGATGGAGTATGAGTCAACGTAGAGAATGGGACCCCTAACCATGGTTTATGGTCTGCAGTGTGGTTTGTGAACTTTGTAACATGGATTATTCTCCATGTTTGCCTTGGAGAGCAAGTGGGAAATCAAGCTTATGTATTTAAAGCCACTTAACCTGCAAAGAGGCCCATCTCTAAGAGAAATACTTGTTGAAAACATACATAACAAATTCTAATAAGAACTAAACATTTGTGGAATGTCAGGGTATAAGCAGTTGGGATTTGAAGAAATCATTGAAAGGCTTCATTTTTCAATTTCTGGGATTTTGGTGCCCCCATCCCCACTACTGGGCTCTATACCACTGAGCTATATCCCCAGCCTTTTTTTGACACAGGGGTTCTCACTAAATTGCTAAGGCTGGCCTTCGCCTTGTGATCCTCCTTCTTCAGCCTCTTGAGGCACTGGAATTACAAGAATGTACCCTGGTGCCAGGCTTTTGCACTCTGTTTTTAAAAATTAGGCCAATTAAAAATATGTGGAGCCTGTTGTCATTGTGCATGCCTGTAATCTCTGGCAACTTAACAAGACCCTGCTTCAAAATAAAAAGGAGTTGGTGCAGTGGTATTGCCTGTTATCCTAGTGGCTCAGAGGGTTGAGGCAGATCACAAGTTCAAAGCCAGACTCAGCAACTTATTGAGATCCTAAGCAACTTAGTGACACCCTGTCTCTAAATAAAATATTTTAAAAAGGACTGGGGATGTGTGGCTCAGTGGTTAAGTGCCCTGGGTTCAATCCCAGTAGCCTAAATAAGTAAATAGCACTGAAGATGAAGCTCAGTGTAGAGTGCTCAAGAGTTCAATCATCAGTATGAAACCAAAATGCAGTACAACATTTGAAAAACCTTTTCTAACTCCTACTATAATAGAATTTTATAAGTTGGCTTGCTGCTTGATAATTTGAACTTTTTAAATCATTGTGACTTTGACTTTTTTTGTCTACAGAAATCAAGATGACTATCAGCTGGTTAGAAAGTTAGGCCGGGGTAAATACAGTGAAGTATTCGAAGCCATCAACATCACAAATAATGAAAAAGTTGTTGTTAAAATTCTCAAGGTGAGTATAAGAGAGAGGATTTTAGAGGTATTTAGAATGTAGGTTTTTAAAAATAATAGTGATGCCTTTTTATAACCTCATTTGAGAGGTTTTTGGAGTGCTTTCACTCCTTTATTTTATTATATTCTCTGAAGTTGATAGAACAGGTAATCCTTGTTTGACAGATAATGACCTGAAGCAAAGAAGTGATTTGATTCAAGTCGTATAGTTATGCTGTGGCAGAGAATGAAAGTAAACACATTGTCTCCTAGGTTTTGCCTAATATTCATTTCCTAAATTTTTAATTACTGTCTATGGTTTTGTTTTCAATAAATAAATCATTACCTCTACTTTAAAAGGATGAGAGGGCACAAAGGCAGACCTTAAAGAGACAAGCAGAGACATCAGTGCATCTTGTCTGCTGTAATTTCCTGTATTGAGGTGATGTGATAGGGACTGATGCAAATCGGGAAGCACATATCCCTTCAGAAGGAGGTCGCTGCTTCTCAGTCTTTGTTTTCTTTTTGCAGTACAACTCCATTGTTGCTTAATTTCTGTTTTACAAAAAGAAGCCAGAAACTGTTGTTAATGTATGAATACCTGATTATTTAAATGACTCAAGATTAAAAAAAAAAAATCTGCACAGTCCATATTTGGCCAATGGGCTACTAATATGCAACTTTTAATTTAGTTATTACTATAGTGTGCACTATTGTTGGGAATTTATTCCATAGTTCCTTACTACAGGTAACCAACTCGGTTACAAGCCAAGCTGTTTCTAATTTACAGCAGATACATTTTTACATTGTCTTAATGGTGTTTTGTTGTTGTTTCTTTCTTTATGGTAATCCTAAGCCAAAAGAAATACCTAATGGTTCTGTATGTTAATAGGAACTTTGTTCAAATAAATAAGTGATAGTTATTTCTTTAAATTTTTATGTGTTCTTTTTAGTTAATAAATGACAGTAGTCTATTTTGAACTATTTATACAAGCATGGAGTACATCTTATTCTAATTAGGATAATAAAGTGATTATATTTAATAAGTTGGTGGCCATCAAGAGATTGATACACATTCATTTAAAGAAATAATTATTCTTATGTAACCATAATTGATTGCTATTGAGATGTGTATACTTCACTGCTTCTCAAATATTGGGATCTGTGTGGACACCACCATGCTCATTTCCTGGTCTACACTGACTTTTTGCATAGTACTTGCATTTATCACAGCAACAACCTGAAAACCCAGCTTCATAAAAATAGGTCCTCAAAAAGACATACAATGCAAACAAATGTTGAAACTACGAACTACCTCAGGCTGGTAATGTACTTACTGTCTTGCTAATATCAAGTGTGATTGATGAATTTCCCTCAAAATTTAAAGTATTCTACTGTGACCCTGGGAATTTGCTAGGGTTCTTCATTACCATTTCAGAACCATTATTTAAATATTTATATCTGACATCACATGAAGAAAGAGAAGTAGGCTGGAAATCAGAACACTTGCACTTTAATCCAAACTCTAATAGCAGTCAACCATGGTAGTTCATTGTGAAAGTGAGAGAATTTTGTTTTACCTACCTTTCTTAGGCTTTTTATAGGGATCTGATATGAAAATGTGTATGGTGACTTACTTGGTGCCTGAAATTCTGTTATTGTAAGATGGTGTTCATACTGGAAACTATATGATAGAATGAGAAAATGTTATTTATGTCATTTTTTTTATTTGCTAAGAGTTGCTTTGTGGCCTAAAATATGGTCTATTTTGCAGAAGGTACCATGAGCTGCTCAGAAGAAAGTGTTTTCAGCAATCTTTGGATGAAATATATATAAAATATGTCTTATTTTTAAATTTCTTTTTGTAGTTGTAGGTAGATAGCATACCTTTATTTTATTTATTTTTATGCGGTGCTAAGGATTGAACCCCAGTGCCTTACACATGCTAGACAAGTACTCTGCCACTGAGCTACAGCTGCAGGCCCTATATATGTATTTTTTAAAATATTTTTTTTAGTTGTAAATTTACACAATACCCTTATTTATTTTTATGTGGTGCTAAGGATCGAACCGAGTGCCTCACAGTGCAAGGTAGGCACTCTACCACTGAGCTACCACTGAGCCCCAGCCCCCCCTTTATATGTCTTTTAAGGAGATGATAATACTTATTATATATATTTGACAGAGAGAGAAAGTATACTATACCGTATATAGTTAGGAAAACTGGGCTGAAAATAAATTTCTAAATCACTGTTCAGTCATGACCACCAATGGCTCTCACCTTCCTAGAAAAGATAATTTCTGAATTTCCTCACAGTCTTAAAAGGTAGATGTATAACTGTCCTTCACAAACTATATTTAAAATTTTTAGGACTGGGATGTAGCTCAAATGTAGAGTGCTTATCTAACATGCATAAGGCCATATTTTGATCTCAACTCAGAATTTTTTTTTTTCTTAAGAAAAATTTTAGTCTATCTCTGCCTGTTTTATCCAGTAAAAGTTACAGTAATCACATTGAACTGGGGTGTAAGTCACCTACCTGGTCCATATTAAACCAACTTTAGAAGTTAAGATTAAATAAAAGATTTGTAGACCAATAGTTGTTGGTTGTTTTGTTGTTGTTGTTGTCGTCTTGCCATAAATCAGCTATTGGGAAATAGTAATGTAGTAGAAAACAGGCGGTGGATTGATGGGTTTGTCTCTGGAGGGGAGAAAATCTCCTAGATAGGCCCACAGATCAAAAAGATCTGATCTGGTGAAGCAAAATGGGAATACTGATGACCTTGCTTCACAGCCAGCCAGCTAATGTACTGAGTTCTCATAGGAGCAAGGTAAAGCTTTGAGTTGAATTGAATGTGGACTATATAAAAGTGACTATAAAAAATACTTACTTCTATTAAGTGTCATCTTTGCAATGGGACATACATATCACAACAACTCTGAGGGAACTATAGTCCTTTTCTACCAGTAATAAAAATAAAGTTGAGAAACCTTTAGATGTTTTTCCCAAAGCCATATAGCTACGAAGCTAGGCTTTTAGGACTGTTTCTAAAACCTGCTTGCTTCCTGCTGTACCAGAACTAGAACTTAAGGTTAAAAGAGTTTTATAGTACTGTAGTTCCTGGACCAAGATCATCAACCTGGGAACTATCTAAAAATACATTCCCAGTTTCATCCTCAACATTCTGATTTAGGCTGTGTGTGGTGGCGTATGCCTGTAATCCTAGCAATTTAGGAAATTGAGACAGGATGATCCCCGGGTCTAGGCCCGCCTCAGTAATTTAGCAGCACCCTAAGCAACTAGACCTGTCTCAGAATTTAAAAAGCAAGGGGCAATAAGATTTTGAATATAAGTTGAATAAAACATACTTTTAAATTAATGTCTATTTTTACTTATTTGATGTGACTATTGAACCTTTAAGATTACACATGTGGATTGCATCATATTTTTCTTGAGCCAGCATTGTTTTACACTCTTCAGATAAGGCTAAACATGTATTTTCTGTGTTATGCCCAACCATGTTCTGAGGTCTTTTCAGATAACCTCATTTGATTCTTGCTGGGTCCTCTTTTTACATGTAATGAAAGTCTTAAAGAAGTTAAGAAATTTGCCCAAGGGTACACAGCCAGCAGGAATGGAGATGGGGCTGGCACGGATAGCAGTCATGACTATGAAGCCCACACCTGACTCACAGGTTATGCTGCACAGAAACAGTTTGGCTGTCCTTGCTGTTGCTCCTGTTTTCTTCACATAGGGTCACACACTTAGAGGAAGGAATGAAGAGAATCAGTGTTTCATCCTAGAGGACAAGAAGTGTTTTTACAGTATACCTTAGGATTACCAGTCATTTAAACTGCTAGTTTGTAAGGTTTTAAAACAATGTATTAAGACTGTCAATTGAAATTAAATGCTAATTCTGTGGAACTATAGCCTTTGGAGTGGAAATCTTTTCCCCTTTAATTCAACTTTTGTAAGTACCTGCAGAGTGCCTGGCACAGTGGTAGGAGAAGGGGATTCAGAGACGAGTCTGACACATTTCCTTCCTTCAAGGAGCTCATAAGTAAGCCATTTATGTATTATCCTACCTGTTAAAATACTCTGAAATAATTGTTTTTGCTGATATACGTTTACCCTTTCAGCCAGTAAAAAAGAAGAAAATTAAGCGAGAAATAAAGATTTTGGAGAATTTGAGAGGCGGTCCCAACATCATCACACTGGCAGACATTGTAAAAGACCCTGTGGTGAGTATAGTAGGTGTTAGCAAGGCCCCCCGGGGCCTAGGTGGTCTTGGAATTGGAGCACAACTTGCCTCTTTCTATTCTCCCTTTCACCATTCAGTCTGGCATTATAAGTGCTTAATCAGATATACCATTTAACTAGCTTAGGTCTTTCTTTCAAAGAGACCTCCACCCACAGACTATTTCTTATTCTTCTAGGCTAAGAGACTGATAGCACTGGAAACTGAAATGTGTTAATCCATTTTGCAAACTCAGGTCCGATGCCGATGGGCGATGGGCGCAATGTCGGGCTGCCTAGAGCCTGGTGAGACTTCAGCTCCATGTCTTCTGTTTGAAATCCATCCCAAAAAATGACCTAAGTGTGGTGACGATCAGAGTGGGGGGGCTTGTAGCAATAAAGGGTTCCTTACTTCTGAGGCAAGGACTGCCAAATTCACCACACAGCATCCACAAACTTTGTGCCCACAAAAGCTGCCAAGGCTATTACTAATGTGTGTTTTCTTTTTCTCTCCCCTAGTCTCGAACCCCTGCCTTGGTTTTTGAACACGTAAACAACACAGACTTCAAGGTATAATATATAGCCAACCATTTTAAGCTGTTGGGTTTTTAGACCACATGGAAAACCTTTCTGGGGGTGATGGTTAAAAGAGCTTGCTTCTTAGTGGTTTTAAATCAGTTTTTCATCCTTATGATGCAAAATGTTTAAGACTTAAGAAAAAAAAAATCCTTATACGATTAATACCCACTTTCCATATTTTGCCCTTTTATAATGACCCCTGTGTTTTGATCATCACTGGGATTCCTCAGAAACTTTGGGATCTCCTTTCCCCAGGTGGTACTGGTGATTAAGCCCAGAGCCTCACATCCCTAGATAAGTGCCCTATCTATCACTGAGCTACACCCCCATCTCCTTGGGCCATAAATCTTAAGAGGTGAGGAATAAAGAAGGGTGTAGTCAAATTCTACCTCTACAACAATGTCTGAATCCTAGCTCATCCAGAGACTTACTTGTTTCACAGTTCTTAATTCCAGTACAACGGAAAATGTAGGTACTCTATTACAGTACAAGTTGTAAGGTATTTGACCTGTCCTTGTACCAGTCATATGAAGACTGTTAGTTATTAATAAATGTGTGCATTTTATTGAGGAGAAAAAAGAAGAGGAACTATTTTCGAATCAGAACAATAACTTCAATGTAAACTTTGTCAGATAATACCACTAACCATTTAAAGATGTACATGTAAAAATTCTGCAACCTTTTGGAGACTGAAAAAATTATATACAGCTGTTTTTATTTATTTTCAGCTTGAGACTGGAATAGTTCTTTTAAATTGGCTTAACTGGTTTGGCATTGTGCCATCTGTATACCCACTAGTGATTTGTAGTGCTGACTGTGTAAGTCAAAGATGGGTTAGTTCCCTACTAAAGAAGTTCTGTCTTTGCCAAAATGCCTTTTATAAAGGAGGTCTGAAGGTAAAGGAAAAAACAAATTAAATTGTTAACATGTATTAGTATAGTAGATTTAGCTTCAGCAATATATTTAAGTAAGTAATTCTTCACTTTTACATGTAGAGATGAAGACCCAAATTCTAAGTGAATGTTATGTTGGAGATATAGAAAGCAGTGAACAGACAGATCTAAGTGTGGCAAAGGAACCAGGTCTTAATTTGAATTACAATGAGTGAGAATGAGAAATTGCTTTCTTCTTAGCATTATTTTGTGGCTCAAATATTGCATTTGTCTTTGACAGCAATTGTACCAGACGTTAACAGACTATGATATTCGATTTTACATGTATGAGATTCTGAAGGTAAGGATCCTTGGATGTCAAATATCTTTTTAATTTTAATTGATCTTACCTTTGTAAAATAGTCCCACTGATGGTAGAAAAGCCAGTGAATAAACTTTGTAAAGTGTTTTGGAAAACATATAAGTGGGTTTGTTCGTTTGTATTTTTTCAGTACTGGGGATTAAATTTGGGGCCTTGTAAGCGCTCTACTGCTGACCTACATCCCTAGCCCTTTTTATTTTGTGACAGGATCTCACCAAGTTGCCCAGGCTGGCCTTGAATTTTACTTTCCTTGCTCAGTCTCTTAAGCAACTGGGATTATAGGTGTGCATCACTGGACCCTACACATTCAAGTTTTCAACAGCTAATGGTATTAAAATCTTTAGACTTTTGTAAGGGTTGTGGGGATAGGGTCTAGTAGGAATATAACTTAGAATCCTTTGAAAGAGATGTTAAGAGCTGAGAGTGAAACAGTTGATGTGATAGCTTTTGCTTTACTTTTATTTCACTTATGATTCAACAAGTAAAACAGCAAACGTTAACTGAGCCTCAGAGGGTCATTGTCCTCAGGATTATATAAATCTCTGTTTAGGGATTGGTGATTGAGAGTGAACTTTGATTTCTCAAGTGGGATCATCAAATATCTTGCTCTATCAATTTTATAGAGGAGAGAGTTGCTAAGACTTGGCTAAGGTTTCTTATTAAACAGGGTTAACATCAAGCATTCGGAGATATTTGATCTGTCCATTGGCCCATGGAGTCCTATGGCAAGCAAGGCTTCAGAAAGTTATGAATATGCTTGCCTAGTCCTGAGAATTGTGGGAATCCAAGTTGCCCTTAAGTTAGGACAAGAACTTTGATGAGGATCACAAGTTCAAAGCCAGCCATAACTAAACAAGGCCCTCAGCTCAAAAAGGGCCAGGGATGTAACTCAGTGGTAAAGCGCCCCTGGGTTTAATCCCTAGTACCACCACCACCACCCCCCCAAAAAAAAGAAAGAAAAGAACTTGGGTAATGATATCAGTTGACTAAAAGACCAGAATTAATGAACCCCAAAGATTATTCAGTTCATCTTAATTTGGGGTAGGAAACTTTTCAGATGGGATTGGATGACCTAGATCATGGGTTTGCAAAATTCATTAAAAGGCTGAATGGTAAATATTTAGGATTTATGAGCCAATGGGGTCTTTGTCATACCATTTGGCTCTGTTCTTACAAACGTAAAAGCAGTCATGGGGCTGAGGTTATGGCTCAGTGGTAGAGTGCTCACCTAGCATGCATGAGGCCCTGGGTTCAATCCTTAGCACCACATAAATGTAAATTAAAAATATTGTGTCCACCTAAAACTTAAGAATAAATATTTAAATTTAAAAAAGAAAAGAAATAGTCATGCAAATAAATAGATGTGACTTTGTGCCATAACATATTATTCACAAAAATGGACAACAACCTCCAGATTTGGTCCATAGGCCTTGGTTTTCCAATCTCTGTTATAAACTCTTAGCTGCTAAACACGTATTCTTCTTCAGATATAAGGTTTACATATAGGCTGGTTTTCTTTTATGAGGCCTATGTTTATGGAAATAATCTAGATTTTGGATAAGAGGCAAAATTGGAAGTGGTGCAACTGGTATATACTTTTGGGTCTTTCTGAATAGAAAGGTAGTTGAAACAACTCTGTAAAGAACAGAACTTGAGGGCTGCGGTTGTGGCTCAGCTGTAGAGTGCTTGCCTAGCACGTGCAAGGTCCTGGGTTCAATCCTCAGCACCACATAAAAATAAATAAAGGTAATAAAAAAAAAAAAAGAACAGAACTTGAAGTTCAGAGACCTGAGTTTGCTTGTCTATGGAATCCTGGGAAAAGTCTCTGAAAAATAGCTGTAGAAGTGATTGTCCTAATCCTGATTCCTAGGGTTGTCTCCAGAAGATAGGAGGAAAATTTAGTTGGAGAAAAAAAGAATTAAAGAACTGTATTAAGAAACCTGACTTTTATCTGCTCTCCCACAGGCCCTAGATTATTGTCACAGCATGGGAATTATGCATAGAGATGTGAAGCCCCATAATGTCATGATTGATCATGAGCACAGAAAGGTAAAGAGATAAACAGATTTTATTTATCTGCATGATGGAATCTTCAACACTTTATCCCTAGTATCTGTTATGGTTACAGGTGCTTTTTTTGATAAATATTTGGTAACTGACTAGATTAATTAAATCACCATTTTTAAACCATTGTTTATATGCCTAGGAATACTGTCAAGGAAACAGATGAGTATAGTGGACAAAACATTTGTCTAGACCAGGAAACTTTGTTTCTAGTCTTTCTTATTGAATAATTGGTTTCTGAGAAACCCTTTTCTCATTTGTCTTCTTTTTCTTACCTGTGAAATGAGTGTAATGGGGCTAGAGATGTGGCTCAAGCGGTAACGTGCTCGCCTGGCATTTGCAGGGCCCTGGATTCGATCCTCAGCACCACATAAAAGATGTTGTGTCCACGGAAAACTGAAAAATAAATATTAAAAAGAAAAATAAATGAGTGTAATGATTGCCTTGTACACCATTAAGTTAAATGTGAGAATTAAAAGTATATAGCTGTGAAGTGGCTGAAATATTTAGAAAATGCTAGTTTGGTTAATAAGCATCCGAGGCCTCACCTCTACTATTGCTTTACATGGGAAGTGTGACTGCCACATTTTTTGAGGTGACCAAAAATTAAGGAGTACTGAATGGCCAAGGGTGTTGCTGTTTCAAAAAAGGGTTGAGAGAAGCTTTCGTTGGGAAGGTGACATCTTAGTAAACACTGGAAGAATCCCTGCCATGCTGTCTCAGGGGAAATATGTTTCAGGTAAAGGAAATAGCAAACAGGCAAGAATGTGCCTGTCTGAACATTAAGAGGAAGAACCTACTTAAACTGTTTTCCCCCAAACAGAGATCACTTCTGTAACCCCCAAAAGCATGGGGATTTGTTCCCACCAGTAAGCCAGTAATTAATTCTACTGCAGACAACATCTCTAATTTGATTCATTTCTGACCTGAAGATAACATTAGATTCCAAGATTGCCCTCTTACCTTTTTTAGCTACTAATCCCAAGCCCCAGGTTGTTTAACATTTTGCTTCTGACTAACTGGCTTTAACTTGGACTTCCCACAACCCCTTTCTCAGAACTAGGGGAAACACATTTCCTGGTTTATTATAAAGGATATTACAGAAATAATAGGTGCACAGGGCAAGGCATGTGTGAAGGGGTGCAGCTTCCTTGCCATCTCCAGGCACATCACCCTCTCGGAACCTCCCCATGTTCAGCTGTTGAGAGGTTCTCTGAACCCTGACCTTTTGGACTTTCATGGAGACTTTATTGCATAAGTGTGATTGTAACATGGACAACTGTGTAGCAAAGTGATTGCACAGAAAGAGTATGATCTAATGCTAATAGACTAAGAGGAGAAACTCATCAAATCCTGTCTGTTTAGATTCTTCTTGGCCTTTCTGTACAGTATTCCTCCCCGAAATGGCACAGGACCTCTTCTGAAATAGTGGTCTTAGGGTTAGGGTTATGGTTAGTGTTTAACTGGAGTTCCCACAACTCTTTCTCAGAACTCTTACAATGTGGCCAGCTCAAACAGGTTTTCAGTTCTGTGATTCACCTTAAGAGAAATTCAGTTCTGTGGTCTTCATTGAGGAGAAAAAGGTATAGGAAGAAGGAAGGCAGCAAGAAATCTTGTTTTCTAAGTCCTAAAGTACCACAGCATTAATTGTCTTACCTGTATTGCTCTGAAACTGCTTCAGGAACCAAGGACAAAAGGCCAAATACTTCAGCAAAAGAGATACTCCACATTCTAGTTATTTAAGGAATAGGTATTATGGAAATCATCAGCAAGGAACTATGGATGAAAACAAGCTTGTGTGTGTGTGTGTGTGTGTGTGTACATACACATATGTATGCACATGTATGTATGATAATGTCACAGCCTCGCATGTTAGAACAGCAATAAGGATGGAACTGGGATAAAATGGAGAAAAGAGGGAAATGAGATCAGAGGTAAGGAGAATCAAGTTATGCACATCTTAAGAGGTAATTGTCAGTCCTTGTCTCTGAAAATGGAGAGCTTTTTCAAGGTCTGAGCAGAACATTGATATATTCTCACTTGCGTTTTAATGTTCATTGTATATGTATTAGAACAGCTAAAATTTTAAAAAGCTGGCAAGGTTGTGAAGAAACTTGATACCTTGCTGTTGGAAATACAAAATTTGGCATCTTGGAAAATATTAAACTGTTGTTTTCCAGTTTGTAGTTTGTCACTTTATTAAGCTAAATATCTGTATACCATATAATCCAACTGTGTCATTTATCTCAAAGAAAAAAACTTGGGTCCACACAAAAACCAATATACATAAATGTAGCTTTATTTGTGATAGCTCAGAATTCAGGAAAAAAAAACATGCTTCCATGGGTGAATGGTTAAAAAATACTGGTATTATATATCTTTACCATATCGTATTATGGTATAATATTAGCCATAAAAGGAAGCAACTCTGATTACATGCAGTAACTTGGATAGGTTTTATACTGAGAGAAAAAACACATCTCAAAAAGTTAATTCTAAAAATGCTAATTCTAAAAATGAAAGAACCAAGGAGATTGAGAACACAGGTTACTAGAAATTGACAGCACGTGAAACATCTCTGTGGTGATGGAACACTTCTGTATCTTTTGGTGAAAGTGATGTGATTAAAATTGTATAGAACTGCACACATGCACCTCCATGCGTGCATTTAAGACTTATGAATTATTCCAGTATCAATTTCCTGCTTTTGCTATTGTACTTTAGGTGTGTGTGATGTTGCTATTGAGAGAAACCCATTGAAGGGAACACAGATTTGCTACTATTTTTGCAACCTCCTGTGGACCTCTAATTGTTCTAAAATAAACAGGTTTACAAGAAATGTTCTGGTTGCTGTGTAGATGATAGAAGGCAAGAGTAAATGCAGGGATATTACTTAGGAAAGGGGGCAAATGCAGTAAATCAGACAAGATGGTGGTAGAATGGATTGAGGAGGTGATGGTAATGGTCAAAATATGGCACAGCAGTAGGACTTGATGACAGATTAAATAGGAGGTGTGAGGGAAACAGAAGGTGAATCTTAAAATTGGCCTGAATGGCAGGTTGCTTGAGGTCATCTTTTACTGAGAAGGAAACTGAATGGAGTTGATTTTCAGGGAATAATCAGGTTTAGATTTGAGATGTATACAGTGACTTACTCCAGAGCAGTCAGTCATTTTCCCTCAAGGTGTGCTGCTCACACCAGAGTATGGTCATGCTTTGCCTATGGTCAAATAGGGTTATCTCTTGTCTCTACTTGTCCTTTTTCTACTTTCAGGACACATTTTGGTAAAAGTTTTATTTATATATGTGACTTTTCTAAAACTTCATTCACTCAGCAAGTATTTTTTTTTTCCTCCTGTGTACCAGGTATTGTGTTAAATTCTAAAAATTACAAAGGTAACTAAAACAGTTTTTAACTAACTCAAGGAGTTGACAGTCCATATTTAAAATGAAAGGTGGAAAACAGACAATAAAGAGTTAAAGAAATATACCTAAAGTTCAGGGAACTAAAGGCAATGATTTCTTCTACTTGGGTGATTAGAAAAGACTTCATTGAGGAGCTAACTTAAGTATCCCAAAAGAAAATGTTCACTAGTAAGTTGAATAGCATTAATTTAGTCCAATGAGATGGGCTGGGGATAAAGTTTAGGGATAGAGTACTATCCATGTGCCAGGCCCTGAGTTTAATCCCCACCCAGTAACACAAAAAAGAAAGAAATTCGGAGAGACATAAAATTAGAGTGTCTTCATAAACTATTTCATGGGAAAAGCTGAATGTCAAGCTAAGTTTAATTATTATAAAAGCTAATAAAGGAGTTTCAATAAAGAGTGACGTAGGTGATATTTTTTAATAGAATACTCTAGTGGCCCAATGGAAATAGCTTAGAGGAAGATAAAGTTGCTCATGGTTTATTCTCTCTCTTTCCTTTCAGCTACGGCTAATAGACTGGGGTTTAGCTGAGTTTTACCATCCTGGCCAAGAATATAATGTCAGAGTTGCTTCCCGATACTTCAAAGGTCCCGAGCTACTTGTAGACTATCAGGTAAGAAGAGAAGGGCAAGTACAATTTTGGTCCTATGTTGTTTTGCACATAATTTACAAATTACATCACTTTGAGCCTTTGAATAAGCCATTTGTGTACATCCATAGCAGTCCTTTTTATGTGAAATGTAACATGAATCACTTTATTTCCCATAATTTGTGTTGCTTTTGTTCTCATAATGTTGGTAGAATATCAATAGGTCTGTATTTGATCCTTAATTAAGGGAAAGTATACCCGAAATATTTTTTCTAGTCAGAAATTTCAAAATTTTTGAAAATTATAAGCGAGGTTTAACCAATCTTAAGAGTAAACTTAAAAATGTTCCCTTTGCTTCTCTAACTTGCACCCTGTATATAAAAATACACACACACACACACACACAAAGGTAGTGGGGGGATACCTAAATTTACCACATTCTAAAAATCTGAAAATTCTTTGAGGTACTTTTCATGGTCATTCTTCCTAGGTTATTATCAGATGCATTGAAGAGTTTCAGACTCTGGGAGTGGGGATGTAGCCCAGTACTAGAGTGTTTGTCTTACATACACAAGATCCTGAGTTCAATCCCCAGTGCTGTTTAAAGTGGGGGTAGAGGATTTCATAGACCAGGGATTTTCTTATGTAAGTTTTTTTTAAAAAGCAATTTAAAGTAGTATGTGCACATTGTTATAATATTGCATGAATGCATAAAAAGAAAAGATAATATGCCTCTGGTTTTTCTCAGAGGAATGGTTTCTTTTTTGTTTGTCTGTTTTGTTTTGTTTGTTTGTTTGTTTTTTTAATAATAGACAATTTTCTGCTTTAAAGTCAAAAGCCTGGGCATTCACATATGATAACAATTACTTTGTTTGAATGCAGATGTACGATTATAGTTTGGATATGTGGAGCTTGGGTTGTATGCTGGCAAGTATGATCTTCCGGAAGGAGCCATTTTTCCATGGACATGATAATTATGATCAGGTGATATACATTGTTCCCATTAAGATGATCAGGTGATATACATTGTTCCCATTAGTGATGACCAGACCTGCATCCTCTTTAGAAACCTCAGTGGACTTGTCTAAAATACAAATGCTTAGCCCTCTATCTATTCTATCTCTGAGGATAGAGAAAAGTTTTCAATTTACTGCTTGTTCAGTCAACATGACATTCATCTTCAGGTTGATACTTGGTAGCCACCAACTTAGCTTTTTGAAATCAGACAGTCTTTTTTCTCTTCCATCTTTTTAGTTTGCAGTACTTGTTTTATTGTGAAATATTCATATGAATATTAAGCATGTGTATATTTCAAATAATTATATTAAAATAATCATGCAACTGTTATTCAGATTAAAAAGTGTACATTACCATAGAATCTCCTGCTGTAAACTTTCATTAGAGTTGGAAATATTCTCTCCTATATGTTGGTTTATATGTAATATTTCTGAGATCCATTTCTTTATATGGATTGTTACATATCAGTAGAAATAGAGATGGTGTTTTTTAGACTTAACTCCACTTTCCCCTTGGGCCATTTCATTCATGAGGAGCTAGCATGATTCTAGCACCTTGTGGAAGGTACTGTTGCCTTGTTCCCATTGAGCATTCATTTCTAATGAATGATAGAATACAACCTGACAAAGGCAGTAACTGTCAGGTGCCACGCAGGACTCAGTCTTTATCAAGTAGTTCATAGAGCATCTGTAAGAGAATTAAACAGATAAGGAAATTAATTAGAGCTGTAACTGTCAGAGTACCAAGGTACAAAGACAGTGGTGGAGAGTAGTCTTCATGTGCAAGGGCAGCTTCCCAAAAGAAGTGATATCTTCAGTTGGGTTGGCAGGGTGAGGGGCACAGTTCCAGTAGGGGAACATTTCAAGCGGAAAGTTAAAAAGCAGTTTTTTCTAACATTTTCACATTGAGTTGATTTGAGAATTTTATGTCAATTCATTCCTGCTGCACACAAATTTGAATCACAAACTATTAGGAGGTAACATTCATACCTATAGGCATAATGGCGCCTTTCTGTTAATTTGGTTGTGGTTGTTGATTTAATCATGTAATGTACTTGTGGTTTGGGTTTTTGTCTTTCTTTAATACTAGTTGGTGAGGATAGCCAAGGTTCTGGGGACAGAAGATTTATATGACTATATTGACAAATACAACATTGAATTAGATCCACGTTTCAATGATATCTTGGGCAGGTAAGTCCATAAAATCTGTGCATCTCTAACATAATTGCTTAGGTTTGAGTTGACGCTTTGGATTCTTGAAATAGTTCTGTTGTTTTTGCCAGCAGTGCTAGAGTGCCCATGTTCTGGTGCTGCAGGATGCTGCATTGAACAGGCCTGTAAAGCATTGGGTTGAATGACTATTTCTCACATTCACTTAGAGGATTTTAAGTATGAGAATTGTAATAAGAGAATTCCTATGAAATTAATGAAACGGGTTTTAGAGTAAGGGTTACAGTTGAGGCACAAATCACAATCTCTCTTGATTTAGGTTTTAACAGAAATTTGTGGACTTTCCTAATGCAAGAGCTTCTGCTCGCCAAATGGCAAAGTTGTCAGGGATGTGTGTGGGAACAGGAAAGAGGTCTAGTTAGCTCAGCCTCCTGCCCTCATTGCTGCAAGGAACATTCACAACATCCTATAAAATAACCTGAATTCATGGATCTTAAAATTGGAGGACTCGGATTTCTCTTTTTTGTAACGCTCCTACTTTCAGCCTCCAATTAGCTTTGTCATCTTCTCACCCCACCCCACCCCCACTGTGGTAGAGTGGTACAAGACTGCTATCTTGAATTTTGCCTTTCTTTTCTGTTGGCTGAGGAAGATGTAGCAATGAAGTATTGGGCTTCTTTATCCCTGTGAGCCATTTCTCATTCCCCCTTTTGTCCTTGTAGACACTCTCGTAAGCGATGGGAACGCTTTGTACATAGTGAAAACCAGCACCTTGTCAGCCCTGAGGCCTTGGATTTTTTGGACAAGCTGCTGCGGTATGACCACCAGTCACGGCTCACTGCAAGAGAGGCCATGGAACATCCCTATTTCTGTGAGTCTTAACTGCACACAGCCTGTGGAGGCTTTCCCATCACTTCCCGGCAGAATGTGAGAAGTGAGGCAGAATGTATGCTGTGAAGAAAGCTCTGCTCCCTTGGTCCCGTTGGAGAGAGCTGCAGTCTAACTCCTGTTAGCTCCCTGCAAGTTACTTGGCCCACATTGAGCCTCGGTATCTTCAAGTGGACATTGATGGCAACCATTGTGCAAATTTAGGGGGAGGTTTCAAATCTATAAATTTACTGTTTAGAGGGTGGTCTGGAATAGTTGAATTAGAAATGAACAGTACTTCATCTGTCCTTTCTCTGGTAATCATTTGTTGGGGAGACCCAGTAAGGCTTATAATATTATAGGTAGACTTTGATTTACATTTATGAGTATAGCTAATTGTGCTGTCCTGGATTAAATGCTGCTACAGTGACACATCAGTGTTGGACTGTTCCCTGAGGAGTGTTGTCTTGATCAAGTTAGACTGTATTTGTTTCCATTAAGCCCCAACTTCATCACTACCAACTTAACATCTTAAGTTAGCGCTATTATGGTAATTACCTTATCTTCCTACCATTTGGTTTCAGAGTTTACCTTTGTCACCGTTGGACAGAAAAGGTATTTCTGCTTTAAGCTACTTGTCTAATTTATGGTGAAGGCAATTGCTACCTTAAGTTCCAGGAATAATATGGAGTAAGATAAAATGCAAAGTTTGAAGGTGGCTGCTATAAGGCCCCCAAAGGCTGGTTAGTTTAGCCTTCAAACAAAACAGAGCCTAATCTTTTGTCTCTTTTCTAGACACTGTCGTAAAGGACCAGGCTCGAATGGGTTCATCTAACATGCCAGGGGGCAGTACACCTGTCAGCAGCGCCAATATGATGTCAGGTCAGTTTGTTAGTATATTCCCATTTAAAATGTAGAAGTCCATTACTGTTAGTTTCATGCCTTCTTTGTGGCCTGATTTCTTATATATCTTCTCTGTGTTCTGTCCTTGATGACAGACCAGCCCATGTGGCTTTTCCCATCAGGTCTCAAGGTGCATTTTATATTTAAATTTACTTTAGTGACACTCTCTTGACTATGAAGTATAATTCATACAAAATTGTTTTCCATTATTATTAAACTGTGGTTTTGTGATTTTTAATAAAATGTACAATTATTCAAAAGTATCAGGCTGGGGATGTGGGTCAAGCGGTAGCGCGCTTGCCTGGCATGCGTGCGGCCCGGGTTCGATCCTCAGCACCACATACAAACAAAGATATTGTGTTTGCCGAAAACTAAAATAAATAAATAAATAAATTCTCTCTCTCTCTCTCTCTTAAAAAAAAAAAAAAAAGTATCTATAGGCCCATACCCTAAGAATTATGCATTCAGGTAACATCCAAGTGGGTACACTGGTGATTATAAGGCATTTACTCATATACCCTCACATGCATGTGAGGTAAGCATTGTATCACTGAGCTACATCCCCCAGCCATTTCATTTCTTTTTTTTTTTTTCTTCCTGGTGCTGGGAATTCAACCCAGGAGCACTTTACCACCAAGCAACATCCTCGGCCCTTTTTTTATCCTGAGAGTCTCAGTAAGTTGCTAAGGCTGGTCTCACATTGCAAACTTCTGATCTTAGTTTTCTAAGTACCTGGGATTATAGATGGGTGCCACTGTGCCTGTCTCGATTCTTTTTTTTTTTTTTTTAAAGAACTAGCTGCCATTTATTTTTTATCCTCTTAAAGTATTTTACCTGTGTGCACAATAATGTATAGCCGAGATTACTTATTTGTGTTAGCAGTACATTGAAAACAGTTATCAGTAGAGAGCTGGTTAAATCAGTTATGGGGCATCTGTTCAGTGGGATATCATGTGGCTATAGAAAAGAATGAGTAAGTGTTTCATGTTCTGTTAGAGATCTGATTCCAAGATAATGGGTAAAAAATTGATCAGGAGGGAGCCTTCATTAAAGAAAAGAATCCTAGGAAAAACTAGTGACTGCTGTTGCTGTGCTTGGTATCTCTGACTCACTGTTAGCTGTTTTCTTTCAGGGATTTCTTCAGTGCCAACCCCATCGCCCCTTGGACCTCTGGCAGGCTCACCAGTGATTGCTGCTGCCAACCCCCTGGGGATGCCTGTTCCAGCTGCCGCTGGTGCTCAGCAGTAATGGCCCCATCTGTCTCCTGATGCCTGAGCAGAGGTGGGGAAGTCCACCTTCTCCTTGATGCAGCTTGCGCCTGGCGGGGAGGGGTGAACACTTCAGAAGCACCGTGTCAGAACCGTTGCTTGTGGATTTATAGTAGTTCAGTCATAAAAAAAAATTATAATAGGCTGATTTTCTTTTTCTTTTTTCTTTTACTTTTTTTTCTTTTTTGTTTTTAACTCGAACTTTTCATAACTCAGGGGATTCCCTGAAAAATTACCTGCAGGTGGAATATTTCACGGACAGATTTTTTTTCTCCCCTTCCAAATTCAGTTCCTCATGACTAAAGAACAAAGATAAACCAGCCTCAATCCCAGCTGCTGCATTTGGGCGGAGATTTCTTCCCATTCCCACTGTTGCTTCCCCCATCTTCCTACACTTTGGGGGGTTGTATCTCACGCTCTTCTCCAGAGATTACAAAAACGTAACTTCTCAGGAGGCAGGAAGGAAGAGAGGCAGGTCGGACCCAATCTAAGAGCAGTGTACTGCTGGTCACTTACATGACTTTACTCCAGAAGTGCTTCAGTGGGGTTATCCTGGCGACTCTAGTGGAAGCGTGTCTTACTTATGTTGAGATGTTGAAAATCTACACAAAGTGCAGACAGATCCTAAAAACTTCTGTTTAGTATGAATCATGTCTTACTGACCTAACCCTAAATCCAGCTCACTTATAATTTTAGTTTTAGTTTAGTTTAAAATTGTGATACCTTCCCTCCCAGGCTCCTTCCTACCTTGATCTTTTCCCCTTTCACCTCCCAACATGCTGTGCTCAATAGCTGGTAGGAGGGAGAAGGCAAAAATCTTTTCATTTTCTTTGACTTGGCCATGTTGAAGTCACTTGGTAACTGGGCATAGCTTACTGCTTTTCTCAAAAGAACATTTTCTATGTAGGTTTCATGATAGCAGCTCTGAGAACTAATGGGCAGTGAGGCCACGCTGAGTTTCATTTTAAGCTTTCTACCTTCTTTTCCTCCTACCCTCCCTTCCTTTACATGCCATCCAATGAGAAGACCTGTTCCTCGGTCTTATAAATGTATCTAAAAGGCAGGAGCAGAGCCACTATCTCCAGTGAAACAGAAATGGTAGACCTGTAATCGTGGGCCACTATCAACTGTTGTTACAGCCCTGCCACCCCTTGCTGTGTGTATATATATAATACTTTGTCCTTCATATGTGAAAGATCCAGTGTTGGAATTCTTTGGTGTAAATAAACGTTTGGTTTTATTTATCAAGGTTAGATTTAAGTTCCCTGTGTAAAGGTCTCGCTGGGTGGGTGTCTCACATTCACATCGGAGGGGCCTGCAGCCCTGTACCATGGAGGCTTCCCAAAGCCCTGGTTTTTATACACCCCTTGTTTGACCCATGGTACTGGGCAGGGCAGAGAGGCCTTAAAAAAGCACCACAAGCCAAAGCGTCTCTGGGGATTAAGGATCCTTTGCCATAAAACTCATTTTGTGTCAGCAGTGCAGGGATTGGGGATGGGAAAAGTCGCCAGTTTTTGTGTTTGTGTGTGTGTATGAAGTGGACTTTCCACTGTACTCCAACCACCTAAGTTTATCAGGTGCTTCACTAAGGAAGCCTAGTTTTTTAAGCACAATAGCAAAACCATCAGCTCTGTATTTTCTCCTGTTATTTCATTACAGTAGCTGCTTACGGGGACTAGGAAAAAATTCTTCCAACGTATTTTAAGGCCTAAAATCTTAGTTCCCCATTCTCCTACCTTATAGATTCACTAGCCTTTCTCACCTGGGCATCATAAATAAGCAGTTGTTTAGGGAGTTGACTTTAATGAACTTATCTAACTTTGTAATCCATCTTGGTTTTAGTAACTTTATCAAGGTGGTGGCTTTGGGGAATATAATGGTAAACTCTAGAGGAAGCCGACGCCTCCTTTTATAATGCTTCTCAACTGTAGGGAGAACTGAAGGGAAAACATTCTGACTGTGACAGGGTGATTTTCTTCCTTGTAGCTACTTACAGTGATTATTTATTGTACTTGACCCTTTGATGCCCTAGAATGCTGTGAGGGTTACCATGTTGAACTTGTGCAGAAGCTAAAAAGCACCAGATGTGCCAGAGATGCAATTTGTGATTACGTTTGCACTGGATTGTGCTTGAACAGGACGCTTATGATTAATGAATTTTTTTCTTTTGAGGTGGGGGAGGAGGGTTGGAAATCAAGGCTTCACACCCCAGTCTTGTAGCTCAGAAATCTAGTTGTAGCTGAGATTGATGTGGAGAGCTACAGACAGTGGACCTCCTCATACCTCTCAGACCTTGTGAGAACTGAAGGTGACTGCAGAGGACTCTGAAGTGCCACCAAGAGCCTTTTAAAATACATAAATGTTTTTTAAAAATGCTACTTAAGGAGTCATAGCAGAAGCATGAAGAGTTTTTTTTTTTTAAAGACCCATTTGGGTGGGTGGGTGGGGCAAGGGTTACAGAGTAACAACTTCTGTGTTGTTGTAAATTACCTCATCTGCATACCTTGTATTGGGACACTATTTCTCAGCACTACCTGTGTCTGCATTGCTTAGATGGCAGGAAACGGAATGCCAATATAGAATGGCTATGTTGGCAGTTATTCTGAAAGGATTTTAACATTTTTTAACGTTCTTTGAAGTGGTCTCTTCACCCCCACCTTTTTAAGTTTAAAGTCAGAAGTCCTCCCTCACTTTGATTTATTGGTTGTAATTGTATTGTAATTGGTATAACTAAATCATAACTGTGCTGGGAAGAAGTTGTGCCATGAAGGTCTTTAATTTTTTTTTAAAATAAAAACATTTAAATAAATGAAATGTCCCTGCAGCCTGAGCAATATGCTTCTCCACCCGACACCGTGTGTGCTTAGATAGCTTTCACGTGGTTTGAATTTAGTATTGGGTTGATGGAGATGACAAGTGGGATTGAGATTGGTTGAGAAGCTCGGCAGTCTGGGAGTTTTTGACCTCAGAGTACCATGAATGGAAAATGATGTTGTTGCCAAACAAGACTGTTCAGTCCTCCCCTTCTCACATACTTGGTTACTAGGCAAACCACTTCACTTCTGAGTTAGTTTCATCTATTAAATGGAGCCTCTGATGCCTTGGAATTTAGTGACAGTATATATCAAGTGTCTGGCGCCTGTTAGGCCCTCATAAACCTTATTCCTCTGGCCCTTTGCTATGGAATATTAGTCCTTGGTCTTGCCTTGAACTGTAATTCCCAGTACAATCTCTGGCAAAGGCCCTTCCTTAGTACCTCTGTGTGTATTTAAGCTCAGGGAGACTGAGGTGTCTTCTGAGATCTTTTTCAGCTCTGACACTAGTTTTACGTAGTTTAGCGCTTAAATACAAAGGCTTGTTTTAGCAGAAAAGACCAGTAAGTGGCATAAGTCCTATGAAGGGTCATCTTTGCAGATAGTCCAGCCCTGGAGGTCACTTGTTAAGTCTTGGGCACCTGGATTGAGTGTGTGCTGGCGGGCTTGTGGGAACATACTTGATGACTTGAACATAAACCATCAAAAGGCTGGGGAAGAGGTAAAACATGTCACTGGCTTATCAATACCAACTTAGTAAAACCCACAAAAGTAGACTTGAATTGCTTTTATTTCTCATTTAAACACAGTTTAAAATTTTGAAATCAGAGAAAATATTAGTATCCCAAATATCTAGTTTCCTATAAGTGTTCCCTGTATACTATTATTTTATGGCCCCGATACATTGAGGTTGAGATTATTGGGAATTGAGAAAGGTTTAGATATAAGGAACTCTTGTGTAATATCTTGTATTTGAAATTATCCCTCAGGATCCAACTTTTTGAATGTGTACGTGAGACAAGACATTACAGTGTGACTGTCAGATACAGTATATTTGATGAAATAGCTCTTCGGATTAGGGCTAAATTACTATAGTCATAAAATAGTAGAGAAAATCGGAGATTGACACAATTGGGGGTTTTCATTTTCTCTTGCTCTTGAAATTTCATTTTCACCTATTAAGTACAGTTATAATTAGAACTGACCATTGAGTACATCCTGAAAAATCTACTTTTGTCACCACCACCTACAGATTCCCACCAGCAGATTCTCTCCCAAGATTAGAATTGGGTGTAAGGAGTTGTTTATTAATCACCAGCCCTTGCCTCCCTTGTGCTTCAGCTTTAGAGACTGTATGGTCCTAGGCTGGCCAGGGCCTATTCCTGGTGAAGGAAAAAGTTCACCGAAAGGCTCTGAAGTGGCCTTCAGTCCTGCCTCAGAGAACGTGTCTAAAAACCTTGATCCTAACTCATCTAAAGTGATCTTCCCTGCTTTTCCCACTGCCGTTTCTACCCATGTTCTTTTTCTTCATAGCATGTGGAGGCAAGCACTCTACCAACTGAGTTATATCCCCAGCCCCATACCTAAACTTTTATAGGATTATTGTTTCTTCTGGCCATAAACTTTTCATTTAATACCTGGCCTATAAACTTTTCATTTAATACCTTTTCATTTAATTATCTTCCCACATACAGGTATACTTGATGACCTTGCATGTCTTATCTATGCATGCTTATAAAAAGCTGCTTCTTTTTATAAAAAAAAAAAAAAAGATGGCCCATTATCCCTTAAGATTTAAGAGGACTGGATAGAAGAGCATAATTCTTAAAAATAGGTAGTTCCTCCTACACTCCTACTGTCACGGTCATGGATTCCCCCCACACACAAAATAAGTAAATGGACGTATTGTTGCATAAAGAGCATCTCAACATTATAAAGTGATATCCTTGCCCTGAGGTTTGTATTTGTAATTATAGCCATGGAACAAGCTAACATGACAAGAAAATATTTCATTAAATGATCTCTAGTGAAATCATAGATGGCTAAAGGCTTAGCAAAGATCGTAGTCAAATTAATAGACTAAAATGCTACAGTCTCCCTACTTTCTACCACTTGTATATAGTAAGACAGATGTACAGAAGGTGTAAGGATATTTTGAGTCGGAATTCATCTTGTTTTATTTTGGTGCTGGGGATTGAACCCAGGGGTGCTTTACCACTGAGCTACAGTCCTCCTTATTTTGAGACAGGGTCTTGCTCAGTTGCTGAGGATGGCCTCAAACTTGTGATCCTCCCTAGTTGCTGATATTAAAAGCATGGGCCACTGCACCCAACTTGGAATTCATTTTACATAGATAAGCACTTTATAGACTGTGGTGAACTTAACCACTTAAGAGAAGCAACTTAGTAGAACCACAGATTCCCTGCTTCTAATCAACTCTGGCTGGATGATTTGGGTTCAGTTACTTAACCTCTCTGAATATTTACACAAGTGACTTATTATAAAACATTTTTACACGTGTATCAGATTTTAAGGAAAGCTGTAACACACCCATAAACCTGCTATCCAAGTTAAATCCTTATTACCAATACAGATGGGTCCTCATCTTCCCTTTCCTGATCAGACCCTTTCTCTTCCTTCTTGCCCCAGAGGTCCTAATATTTTCTTCAGCATTAAAATAGGGCAAAGATTGCTGTTTTATACTTTGGTAGTTCACATTTAGATGATAAATATGGAAAGTGTCCAGCACAGTGTTAATCATACAATAGAATTGGACCAGATTTTCCTTTCTACTTTGATTTGTCTAGTTGTGTAGAGTATGTGTTGAAAAGAATGCCTTAATTGTAGAGATCTAATGATTTGTATGTTTGGGATTTTCTTACTATTTTCCAGGAGATGGCAGTATTTGCCAGAAAAAAAAAATAATAATTTGCATTAAACCTGACTGGTTTTGAACAGATGTAAATTGAGTTTCTGATTTGTACGAAGGCCACCATTGTCTCCTCTTGAAGTTCTATCATTCTGAATTTTAAACTTCTCTGCTGAAAGTCAAGTATTTTTTCGCCATAGCTAGCTACAAACAATTTGTCTCCCTGTGGCCACAATCACCCGGGATTCTTACTGACCGCAATGTAAGAAACTCTTCCCCAGGTACCTCCAGATTGCCAATCTGTTTCTTTGAGAAATTCCTAAGGGATTTGAATATTTCTGAGTCAGCAACAGACTTGCATCACCTGCTTTGACAGAGTTGTCTTGGCTCCTCTAATGAGAGAAAGGAAAAATGCAGCAGCTGGTAAGTGGCATTCTGATCCGGTGTCCTGTGAGTCGCTCTCAGCAGCCATAGAACAGCATTTGTATTCAGACCTTGCTTCTGTGTATTGAGCAGTTGGGAGCTTCACAGTGAAATTTTTACAAAGAAGCCTAATTCCCTTCATT